AGACACCCAGAGGTGCATATGAAGGAGAGTTTCCCAATCGTGCATTACTCACCTTTTGGGCCGGAAGACAGGGGAGGCCACAGACCTCCTGGCCCAAAGTGTGTACAAGGCAGAGCTAATACAGAAGGCCTTAGTCCACTCTCATTAGAAAGGCCTGCTGACCAGAGCAGCCTGTGGTTGGCATCTGGAAATGTGCATTTCTGAAAGGTTCCCCCCACCATTCTCTGAACTGATAAAAACTGTGCAATGAGATTTATGCTAAACACCTGTTTTCCTTCTAGGAGCCTGGAATCTGGGCATATGGCGGGCAGAGGGTACCTACACAACGAACCCCAATAAATCCTTGGAAGACAATACTTCACATGTGCTGACACAACACACTGCTGGGGACGTTGTGAAATGTGCAACTCTACCGAGAGCCTGGAAGCTCAGGCCTGGTTTCCTTGTCTCATTTTGCTCTGTGCCCCTTCTCTATAATAAATCACTCCCCTAAGAACTGCACAGAGTCCTGTGAGTACTGCTCACAAACCACTGAAACTGGGCATGGCCTCATACTCCCAACACAGTGCGATCCCAAAAATGTCTCCAGGCCTTGCTCAATGTTCCCTGAGGAATGCCAAGCTCTACCCTTTCAACCGGCACAAATGTGAAAGACAAAGACTAGATAAAGCCTAAATGAACGAGGCTGAGGAGTCATGACAATGAAACACAACCTATTCCTGCCAGAAGCTTCAACTAGAAAGGAAGATACTATTCTTGGGCAGGAGAGCAAAATCTGAATGCGTCTCTGGGTTGGAGAACTGCTGCATGATGTTAACATGAGGATGTCAGAAAGGATTCATCTTTCCAGGAAATACACCGGATTCCTTCTACTTTGTGCTTCCTCTATCATAAGCCGCTTCTCTCCAAGCCTTTGCACAACTTATTTCCTCGGTCTACACACTGCCCTCCGCATCTCTTTCGTCTTCATTAACTCCAAATCATTTTTCAGACTTGAATTAAGATTCACTTCTTCTGGGAACCTGCGGAGGTCACACAAGTCCCTGCAGGTTGCCTTCCTTACACTGTAGGGCCTCCCCCACCAGGATTTATTTCATCACATGTATAGGAAGGTTGCTTCTTTTCTCAACTGCAACCCCAACTAGAGAGCTTCCATGCGTGCCTCTTCTGCTTATGACTGGATGCCAAACCACATGCCATTAATAAACACATCAATGATTGGAAAATGAATGAATTACAATTTTACAAGCATTCCTTGTCACAGAATGATTGGGAAATCCATATGTCTGAGAGAAAATACGTTTCAAGTTAAAAGCAACAAAGTTCAAACTTCTGGCAACTATCAGTGGGAATCTAGTGCAAGTTTTTATAAATAATAAACCCAAATCTGTCCGTAGGGCAGCCAAACACCAAACTGATCAAAGCTAATCTAGTTACATGAGACGAACAGTTTCAAACTGTCATCGGAATTCCCAGAGTGCAGTTATTTTATTCTGCAGTGAAGTCGAGCAAAAGGTGGCACTCCATCAAAATAAAATGACTTACTTCAGCTGACTAGCTTGACTTGCTTAGTTTACATAATATCACCATGGTTTGGTTTCCATGACTACCAAAGTTCTGCAACACATGGACACCGAGCAACAGATGAGTGACAAACCACGATAATCAGTGAGGGTGAGAAAAGAGAGCTGAGGCGATTTACGAGACCATGGAGGGGGCGGTGCATGAAATGCAGTCAGGCTATACACTTCTCCATACAGCAGTGACCTCGGCAAAGGTGATGTTAACGTGTTTATCTGCACCTCTGTGTCTCCTCAACTACTGTAGCTCTTCAACTACTGAGACAACAAGGGAGGAATAAGACATGAAAGGAAGATTTTCAGCGCAAGTGGTGAGGCTTAATTCAGGACACAGACTTGTTAGCTTACTGCTACCAGTTAGAATGAAGTCATAGCACTCACATGGATGCCTTCTATAGGAAAGGCTCCTATATTTTTCTTGAAAATTGTTTCCAAGATCATTAACTTTCAACGTGTGAAACTGTCGAGGAAGATATCTTCTCTCTGCATGTAGTCTCTTTAGTTTCTCTCTCATGCAAAAGTTTAACCCAAGTACAGGGTCATATTGTACTTGGAATGTAATATACAGTAAATGCAGGAATGTCATTCCTAAAGCTGACTAGCTATCCACCTACCAACCGACCAGTGCAACTGCTGCTCCTCACTTCTCACTCTTTCCAATCTTGACTCCCTTTATAACACACTCCCTGTTCAATTCTCCTCTGTCTCCTTCTCTCACCAGTCCATGCTCAGCTGCATCAGCGGAGCCTCATCAGCCAGCTGGTTTTACTCCAGCAGTTTTCAGTTTCTTTTAAGGAACAGAACATACACCCTCATCTCCACCTCACCCCATAAAATTCTTATGATAAACTGCTCATGCAAACCAACATTCTCCATTTCACTAAAAGCACAGCTCTGGTGTGTTAACAGTGCAAAACCTCCACCACTCCCTAGCCCAGGCAGAAATAGGCACAAAACCTCATGGAGACGACCACTCAAGGTTCTCTATAATCTGCCAGGAACCTTCTTCTTTTTTCCCCAGCCTCGCTCAGAAAATTAAAGAACCATCCCAAAGGTGTGGCTCCCAGGGAAGTGGTCTGCAAACTAAGGCCCTCCATACAGCCACACCCATTTTTTATACTTTGCTTTCACTCCTCAAGAGCAGAGGTTGAGCAAGTAAACAAGTTCTCAAAGCCTAACTTTTTATGAACTTGCTGCTTACAGAAGTTTATAGACTGCTAGATGTAGAGAATTAACAGGACTATTTTTCATTTCTGTGCTGAAAACCAACAGTGGGAATGTGGCATAGAGCAAAGGAAGGAGACTCCTTAGGAAGTTCATGCAATAATCTCAGATCAAAGCGGTTCCCATGAAGGTGGAAGCAGGGAAGACAGTGAAAAGAATGTGGACAACAAAGGTATAGCCAAGAGAACCAGGTGGTGGCCTGGACACATGTTGTGAGGGGAAACAGATGCACCGAGGATGGAATCTAGTTTCTGGCTAAGCACCCTGAAGAACACACTGTCTACTTTCAAGATGGAGCCCACCATGCGTTGCTACATTTGTGAAGGAAGATCAGATCCAAGACTGAAAAGCAGTTACACCAATTGTTCTGTGCAAACACCTCCGATGACTCACAGCCTCACTCAGAAAAGCCCCAACCCTTACAATGGTCAGTCCTCCTCTCACCTCTGACCTCATCTGACTTGGAACATTCAGTTCACTCCAGCCTAACCGGCCCTCTTGCTCTGCTCAAGCACACCAAGAAGGCTCCTGCTTCAGCCCACACACCTGAGGCTTCCACTGCGATTTTCTTCCCCCGAGATATCAACAGAGCTCCATCTGTTGCCCCACTGCTCAATCTAACTTTCCCAAGACTCCAAATTCCAACAGCTACGGACTCCTTCTCCTCACCCCTCACTCTCTTCCTTCCCAGCTCTTTGTACTCATCACCTCTAATATAACTAATATATTTATCTTACCCTCTTCCTACGTAGAAGCTCCAAGAGGTCAAGAATGTCTTCTTCACACATTGTAGTAATTGCAGTGCCTAATTCATAGCAGGTGATCAATAAGGATTTTCTGACTTTAGTGAACTGCCTCAAACAATAAAAACAATTTATCAAAGATTCTGGAAAATTCCACTTGGGATTCTGAGATGGAGGGGGGGCATGCTACAAGAGACCTACACAACACAGCTGAACTAAGACAAGGATTTGACTCAGTTTATTTCCTCCCTGCACCAGCAGCGCATTTCCTTCCTCTCCTGGTCCCAACACTGAAAATGTGTGGAATCAGTTCATAAACCCTGCACTTAAAAGTCGAGCTTCTCAGGACAGCCTACCAAGTCTGCGTGCCTTTCTGGCCTCATCTTCAGCCATCTCCCCTCTGCACCATGCTCACCCAACTAGACAGTGTTCTGCCTACCAAAGATGCCCCTATGGACCGGGGATTTAGCTCAGTGGTTTTGCCGCCTGCTGCGCAAGCGCAAAGACCTGAGTTCGATTCCCGGTTCCGTTACTAACTACAGCAATCCCTGCACCCAGATGGCTTTCTGCACACCTCTCCCAGCTATTTGCTCAAATCGCTCCTATCATCTCCACAACACCACACCTGACCATCCCAGTCGAAACACAAGACCATCATTTTAGCATTCTCTATCTTCTTTCCAACACTTAAAGGCTTATAAAGCCTCCCTCATATATATACATCTTACTTGCGAGAGTAGATCGCGCCCACCTGGTTCACCGCACTATCCAGAATGTGTAGAACTCTAACCAGACAGAGACGATCGCATGAAGTAGCTACGGCAGGAGTGGGTTCCATTCTACCACTAAAGACACTGACAGTACAAAGTTAACTGAAACTCTCCTTATCAGGCAGCTAGAAGGGGGGCTGAAATTTCTACCTGGGACTACTTCCAGGACTCCCATAAGACCTGGAACCAGACCTTGAGCAATCTGGTGTACAGAATACCCCAGGCAGGTGTCTGAAACCTCCAGTCTCTGCATGTCTTTAACTGACTGATCAAACTGACAAGTTACCTGACTTGATAAATTGCTTGATTGTCTTTAAAAATTAAGCTTGGGGCGGTGCATCCGATATGAACCGAAACGCATTCCGCAAACCTCGGAGTCGAATCACCCAGACAGCCCACATGGCACAGAGGAGCACGCCTCCAAGCCACACACACTGTACTTAGGATGGGCCAGACGACCAAAGGCCTCCGAGAGGGAACCTCGCTCAGCACTTCAACTGTCGCTCAACAGCCCCCAAAACCTGCCCTGGGGCGCCGGGGGCTCGCTGATTTCGCCCCCTACCACGATCGCAGCCCAGTGAATTAACTCTGGGTTCCAAGCCTCAACAGAGCCCACAGCAGATCCCCAAAGTCGAGGAAAGGGGAGGCGGGGACCGGGGCCACCGTCCCTGGAGACATCGCACCTGCTGCAACGAAGTGCAGCCCTGGCACCGCGCGAGGTCCGCCGCCGTCCCGGGCGCCGCCGAGCGAGTCTCGCCCGGCATCATGGTCTCGCCGGGCCCGCCGGACACGCACAGCTCAGGGGCCCGCGGCCGCGGCCCTGCCCTGCCTCTGCTGGTGCCCCCGGGGCCGCCGCCTGCCGGGCCGCTTCCCGCCGGGTCCGGGCTGGTCCATCCGTGCACAGAAGTCCCCGTGGGGCTGGCGGAGGGCTCTCCGGAGTAGAGCCGCCGCAGGCACTAGAGAAGAGCGCTACCCGGCGCGGCCCCCGAGCGCGACGCAGCCCAACCAGGACCCCGCCCCACCCAGGCCCGCCCGCCCCTCCCCGCGCCTGGGGCTACCCGAGACGCTGCCTGAAGAAAACCGGGAAGTGAAGTCGGGCGACGAGGCTGGAAAGACGCCCGCAAAGGAGAAGCCAAAGAGCGTAGAAGCATAAGAGGGGCACTTCTTCCACTGCAAACGGTTAGTCCTCTATTGCTAACTCGTTGTGCGACAGGCTTTCTATAGACACCTAAATCCTTCCACCCTGGAGGCGGAGCCAGCCAGTGACGTAACCCCGCGCCTGCTGGCGTGAGAGGACCCGCGTCCAGGACGGGATAGTACGCGGTTTATAACCAGGAGGGTTCTTGCTGTCCCCAGGCCCGCTCGGGTCTGGCAGTAGGAATGACAGGCCAGGCCGAGCGGCGTCTCGAGCCGTCCCCGATGCTCCTGAGCGCCTGGGATGTGGCCTTCGCCGCTCAGGGCCGCTCCCCTTCGCTCGCCGTGGTCCCTTGCCTTCCAGCCTCGTCCCTCCGTGCTGCTTCCGCGTCCGTCGCTGCGGCAGGTCCCCGGGCCCCCATTGTGGGTGGCGCCCTCCTCCCAGGCCAGCAGAGTGGACGCGGACCCTTGGCCACCTCTCCCACGCCTCTGGGTCCTTATCCAGCCACGATCGTGTATGTTTTCGGGGGAAGGGGGTCACTTGGTGATTCCTGGGTACATTCAGATTTGACCCTCGTGTTAAACCGAGGTGCTTCACTTCTGTAGTCACAATGTCCACCGCCAGCCACCAGTCTTCTTTTAAACAGAACTTGTTGCCATTAGTATCTATTCAGAAGCCTCCTGTGGCTTCCCACATTTTGCTACAGCCCAAATTTCTCAACATTCAACATGAGCATCGCAAGTTCACTTGAAGTAAAACCTGACCAGACCCTAAGTCAAAGGATGGAAAATGGAATTGAAAGACAGGGGGGGAAAAACTATCTGGATTTTTCTTTGGATTTTCTTTCAACTTGCCACTCCTGCCCTTGCTTACACAACGCTGGCCGCCATTTGCTGCGCAGCGAAGGGGCCTGACGATTTCCTGTCGTGGACATCCAAGCCAGACTGTGCCTGGCTGCGGCAGTACGGTGGGTCGGGAACGGCCACACAGAAGTCCCAACTCTTCTCAGACACAGGTGAGCAGAAGAAAGAGGGCAGTTAGAAGAGGAAGCCGGAGGGAGCAGAAGCTTAAGGACAGCAATGAAAAGACAGAGTGCTTGTCCCGTAGGAGAGAGGAGACCAGCATGGACTGTGACCATTTTCCAGGTTTGGCTTTTATCTGAGATAAGTTTATCTACACTGAACTTCCCTTTTATTTCGGATTTCCCGAATGAGTGTTTTTTCCTTAAGTACCTTTGTGCAGCAGGCACCAGCCCACAGGCACAGCCATAACACTTAGCATTGTGGGAGCTTGGAGGCCTTCCTGCCTCAGCACACTCTTCGGGCTTAACCTTTCCCTGGAGCACCGCTTTCCAGCTACACATGTGGAAATCCTGCCTTCCTTACTTTGTTTTTCCTCTGCGACCCCAGGTCACATCCACTTCCTTTTTTTGGTCCTTTCATGTGAGTCATTTTTCTAGCACCACATTTTCACTTGGTGATAAGGATTTTTGTCCCTCAGAGGCGAGTCTTAAGTTTTAAATGCTAAACATTGCTCACATAGTAGCTATGAAATAAATGTCAGACTGAATCAAATCCACTGGGACTAGTTCAAGTAGAAAAAGAATCCTTTTCAAAATGACAGTACGCTTTTTATACCTTTTCCAAATCATTTCTCAAGACATTGAATCCTGATTATATATGGTTAAATAGGAGAAATTTAATCCAACTATGGGGTTTGGAGGTAGGACATTCACAAAATTATTAATATTACGTAAAGTTATCAAGATAGTCCCCCCATGATTGCCTTTGGGAGAAGGGAGAGAGGACAGAGGAGACATACACCTACCCCTTGCTTTTTGTTGCCTTTTCTTGAGCATCTGCACAAAGAAGGACATCACCAGATGTGGCCCCTCTACCTTGGATGTCCAGATCCATAGCCCAAAAGAAACCCATTTCCTTTAAAAATGACCCAGTCTGTAGTGTTGTGATATTGGTAACAGAAAACAGACCAAGACAAAATTGGTACCAAGAGTGGGGTTCTTGCTATTAACAAATGCCTGAAAGTGGAAGTAGATGCCAGGCAGAGTGTGAAACATTGCAGAAGTTGACATATTGCTATAAGTGAAGCATTAGGGCTGATTCTGATGAAGTCTCATAAGATAAGGGGCCTAAAGACCTACAGGAGTCTCAGGTGGAAATAAAGATCCTAGGAGAAACTGGAGAAAATGTCATCCTTGTTACACTGTTGCAAATAACGTTGCCTTCTGTCCATGACCTCAGACTTTGGGGAAGGCTGAAAGAAGTACTGGACAGAGGAGATCTTACAATGAAGCATTCAGGCCATAGCATAGAGCCTACTGGCCCTTTTAGTCAGATTTACAAGACTCAACAACAAAACTAAAAACAATTTAGAAAATTTGCAACCTAGCTAGGGAAAAGTGAGGTGTGTTCAGGACAGGAGGAAAACAGCCTGCACAGGAGGATGGGGTGGGGCTCTTGAGGCTGCTCTTCCTCTACAGGCACAAGGCCCTTCCAGGACAGAGCTCCCCAGCGCTGTCTTGGGCTCACAGACCAGGGCAACCTCAGGATTCACGTCCCTGGTGTTTGCTGACAAAGCACTACACAGCAGCTGCAACCCTGGCCAAAGAGAACTCATGCAGGTGACAGATGTGGCATCTCCATGGAGCTGGTCCTGCACGTTGGCAAAACACAAAAGGTGGGTCAGGTAGCTCCCACTGAAATTTCAAAGGAAAGCCTAGGAGACCAGGCACAAGTTTACTACCTCTTAAGAGCCCTGCCCCAGTGGAGCAGTGTCTAGTGGAGCTGAAGTGGGACCCCAGAGAGGTACAGCTGCCAGCAACATGCACCACACCAGGGGAGAACTTCAGGCAGCCAGCGAAACAAACTCAAAAGCATAACTGTGTGGCTGTAACCAGAGGTACAGGAGGGTCGTCTGGACCCCACCCCCAGCACACTGCACAGCATGCTGGACGTGGCTTGAAGACATGCTCCCTGCCCTGCTGAATGCTGGCTTGATTTGTGCCGATTACTCCTCAGTAGTTCCCTATTTCGCCCGTCTGGAATAGGAATGTTTATTTTTTTCCATGTCCAACCAGTATATCCTGGAAGTAGGTAACTTTTTATTTTATTTTATAAGGACCTGTATCTAAAAGAGTTTGCCGTGAGTTTCAGAGGAGATTTGGACTTTGAATTAACATTCAAATAAGTTAAGACTTTGGAACTATTTGAGTAGAATGATTCTGTGTGTAGGAAGACATGATTTCCAGGGGGCTGGGGACAGAAAGCTACAGTTTGCATGTGATTTGTCCCCTCCAAAACACTGGTGGGCATTTGAGCCCTCATTGCGGACTACTGGTGAAAGGGTGCAGACAATCTGCCTTTGGTGTTTGGAGTGGGGTTCTTAGGGAAGTGGTTCGGGTAGCTGAGGTCATCGGGGATACACTCTCTGTCTTCTCTTACTATTGATTCCCTGTACCTCAGGACCCTGCCAGCAAGTAGGTCATTGCCTTGTGCAGCCCTTGGGCCTTGGACCAGCAAAATCATGAGCCAAATACACCACTTTTCTTAAGCACCCAGTGTATAAGTATTGTGTTACCGTGTACTTCCAGCGTCCGGAAACAGCCTAACATATGCTCCACCTACTGCTAGGAAGTAAGGTGGGGTCAGAGAAGCATTGTTCTTGTCAGAATTCAAAGAAAAACCATGCTTTCGTGCAGAGCACTTGAGCCCTGGAGAGACCTGTGCACCTTGGCCCATGGACTTGGGGAACCCTGAGCCTGCTGAGTCCCACCTTGGCTTAGAGGACCCCCTTGCAGGTCTCCATGTTTACCCCACACCTCCCCACCTCCAGATACTTGTCACACCTACAAGCTAAAGCTGTAGAATTCTGCACAGTCGAGGTCGCTGCTGGCTTGATTGAGCAGCATATGCTTCCACCGAGAGGGCTCCTAGATCCAATCTAAAATCCAAGAAACACTCAACATGGAGAGTAATTTCTTCTTAGAAATTCTAGTATTTTGCTGCATGAAAAGAGCTATTATTTCTTTTGATGCACCCACCCAGAAGAAAAATGAACTATATTTTCATTTTTTAAAAAACCTGAGTCGTTTGAAACTCCTAGCAGCCTGCAGTCCAGAGCTCTTGTCTGAGTAGGTTGTGGTTTTCCAGCCTTGGTGTAATGTCAACCTTTGGCCACCAGGTGTCGCTCTTTCCCTGTGTGTTTTAGACAATTTCCGGCCATATTTAAGATGCATCAGATTCTGCAGGGTCGGAGAGTGTTTCGTGGGAACCGCTGTGCCCGCTGTCTGTCTGTCTGCCTGCGCGGGGTCCTTCATCCTTTCACTCCAGATTTCCTTCTTGCCCCCGGTTTTGGTGGTGGTATCTTGAGTTGTCCCAGGAAGCAGCACTTTGCTCACAGCCTCAATTCTCTCACAAAATGATGTGAAGCCAGGGCATGAACACGTTTCTTCCTGGGACGTCTACACTCACTCAGAAGTGGGGAAAAACACTTCTGTTTCAAGGCGATTTTTATTTGAGAAAGTGCAACATGGTCGTGATCGTCAAAGCAAATGTGGGGACTCATGTCGCAGCGCCGTCCCCACGGGAGGACAGGGGTTTGTGAGCAGGTGGCAGGTGTGACTGCTTGTTGCTGAGAACGTTCCTGTGGCCTCCAGGGCGGGGAAGAAGGAAGGAAGGGGGGAGGCTGGTGTGCCGGGGCACGGCC